TTTTTTTTTTTTTTTTTTTTTTTTGGTATGGGAGATCGAACTTGGGACCCTGCGCTTATGAGGCAGGCGGCAGCACCACTGAGCTAGATCCTTGGCCCATTATAAGAGAATTTTTACACAACACACATTCTCTGGCCAAGAAGCAAAGGAATTTTACTCCTTGCTAATGACAAAATCCCAAATGGCTTGGAAAGCAGGAAAAATAAGACTTTCTCCCACAGTGGGGATATGGAGAGGGACAGTGAGGATTTGAAATAAAAGTCACTAGAACTGGATTGAAATGAAAATGTTTCATCTTAAGAAAATTAAAGCATTTCCAGTTTTTGTTAGCTTTCAAACCTTCAGTGGAGAGAAACTTCCTGGGCCCTCTGTGGTATGAGAAGGTGTTTAGGTGAAACCATTTAAGGGGTTCTAGGCCAGTGCTTCTGCTTCCAAATAAGGACTCATGCAACTCTGTGGTACAGTATTCACCTAGTGTACTCAATGCCCTGGGCTCCACCCCCAGTTAAAAAAAAAATCCCTGCCATAAAGCTGGCGTTCACCAATGGATCATGTGCCTCACTCTCACTGCCTACTCATTTCCTCATGTCGCTCCTCTTCTCTCCCCTGGCCAGTGAAGTTGGAGGGGAAGGGGAAACAGAGGAAGGGGAAATGCCTGATGGATGTCCGAGGCACGCTGGAAGAAGCTAGAGGGTGGAGTTTGAAATACCACAGCAAACACCATATTCATTCTTATCGTCCTATTTTTACTCCCCATCCAACTTGGCCACTTCTAGGACACTGATCCATTCACCCTATTTGTGATGAGAACATCTATAATGTGCCGGACACCTGCTAGTTCTCAGCATAGATCATGTAGGAGATTAACAGTCCTGACAAGGAAATGACCCATAGAGGCAACTACTGGGAAGCAGGCCCTGGGTTTGCTGAATGACTTGAACTAGAAAAAGGAACTCTATCTTCTAACAGTTTGTATCATGAAGTGGGGTCATATTATCAAATATAAAATTAAAAAGAACCAAAGGAAGTACTTTCTTCTCAGACTCCTACCATCTGACATAGGGACAAGGAGCATCCATCTCCCCTTAGAATCACAAAGTAGGCAGCCCTGATAGGCTACCAATGAAATCATCCTAGTTCCTACATCTTAAACTCCTACCTGATTGGCTGGGACAATGGCCTTTCGATTTGTTCTCTTCCTCCCACTCCTGCACACATACATGCACAGAAGCATTTTCTAGCCAGACCGGATAAGCTGATGAATTGAGTAACCTCTTCCTCTCAGCCAGCACAAATATCACACACTCTGGATACATGTGATTAAAATTGCTAACACTTCAACTCAAAACTGGCTAGCAGCCAATGCAGCCAAACATTAGCTCATGAAGTGGTTATGTAACAAGGAAACAGTGTTGGCTCTGAACAATTTCAGAGCTGCAGGGACACAAACCAGTGTTTACACAAATAGAAAAACTGTAAAATACATTTGGGGTAGGTTCTTCAATCTGATCTTTTTGAAAACCATCAATTGTGTTAGCTTAGCTATTATTTATTTAGAAGAACCTTGCTCCCAATAGACTGTACTGAATAGACTCTTTGATCATGAACCCAGGTAAGCAGACACTTCAGCTGTGTAATGGGGGCAGAGTCTTGGACTGAGGAACCAGAAGGCCTGGTTTCAAGTTCCAGCTCTGCTATTGTGAAGACAAGTTGTTTAACCACTCTACTCCCTGAACATGTTGGATCTTTGTGTTTTGTTCAAACCCAGTGTTAGAAGATGGATGTACCATTTGTCTCAGCCACCTGTTTTGCAAATTTATGGTCAGGAAAGAGTAGAAATGAATCAGAAAGAGTATGATGATGAGTCAAGATTATCATCTCTTTGTAGGAAGGATCATCGCATCATGATGAATCAACCACTACGCTTTCTAACTGCCTTGTCACTCACTGAAATACTTTTTAGTTTTTCAAAAGAAAACAACCCTGCAGGAAAAATATCAGCACACCTAGCCCATTTTATTTTGTTCTTCTCTCATGCTTCACCTACAGTCACAGCCTATTTCAGGTACCCCCAGCCTCTGCGTGGAACAGCACCAACAAGTTCCAACTGCTCCTGACACTCCCAGTCTTCCTTCTCTCCCACCACCTTGTGGCAATCATTCCACTCAAATTGCTTTAATCACAGTACTGGCTCCCACCTTGAAAAAAAAAAAACTCGTCTCCCATAACTCCCTTTGCGAAACCAAGTCTACATTCCTTAACCTGACCCTTCAAGATCTCATTTCACCTGTTCTTCCTGCCATATTTCCAGTTATGCTGCATGCGTTCCCACCCCTGTGTATTTGCCGACTTACCGGCAGTATCTTTCTCCCCATCTTTGCTCAGCAGACTCCCCACTCACTCTCTCAAGGCCAAACTCCAATGATTTTTCTCCACTGTGAAGTCTTCTCATTCTTTATCAGAAGTTACATTTCTACCATACTTCAGGCACAGCCACCACGTTATTTGTACTATAGTTCAGGACACATTAGCCTTATTCTTCTGTTACTCTGTAAGCTCCTGGGGTCAGAGGGGCCACTGCCTGTTTTATCTTTGCATTGTCCCCAGCATCACTCACACAGTGGGTACTTCATGTGCCCTAACTAAATATCACCTACCTGCAGAGAGAAAGGTGGCATGATGTAACAAAAGAGCATGAGATTTGGAGTCAGAAGGCCAGGTGGTAGTACCCAGCTCTGTCACTGACAAGTGGTGTACCAGCCTGAGCCCAGTTCCGCCTCTGTAAAATGGGCACAATACTTCCTGCCCTATGGACCTTACAGGAAAGAAGAGAAGAATTGTAAAAATCTAATGATGCCTGTGTGCTAGACAGTTAGTAGAAAATCAAGACACTCTAATTTGCCTTTGAAGCTCTGCCCAGCCCTCCTTGGTTCACAATCTGCCCTGTCAGAGGCAGACTTCTTACCTGTTTGGGGAGTAGCGGATGAAGTGGGGAGAAGTTGAGTCATTAATGCTGGCTAGGTGTTGCTGAGGGCAAGGGGGACCGGGGAGGGAAGACAGCCTTGACAGAAATGTCACATGCTCTTATCCTAGATTCCCTCCCCAAATAGAATAGAATTCTCCCAGGCAGAAGTGAAATGAATGCTGGCCTAGAGCCTGACAAGAATAATTTTATTCAGTTTATCAAGCTGCCAGGAAGGGGGGGGGATTGACTTTCAGCTCTCCCTCCCCAAGTCACAGCATCAAGACAAAGTGCTTTGACTGTTAGCCAGCAAGGTTGAACCATCTGGTCAAAACTGACCAGCTCTTGCGGTTAGGGGTGTTGCTCAGTTATGAAGCCTTGTCTAGCCTGTGCAAGGCCTTGGATTTCATTTCCAGTATGGAAAAAAAAAGACTATTTCTCCTGACTCTGTGGGCTGATCAGGGCCAAGGCCACTCTTCCGAGGTGGCACTGTGCCCATCAAATGAAGGCCACAGGGACTATCTTCCTAAATAGAGAAACAGCCTGAAATGTCATTATTTCCATTTCTCCTTTTAGGCTTCCTTTCTGGTTCCAATGCAAATATCTCTGAGCCCTGGGGAAGCTTTCAGCCTCATCCGGTATTTACATCTTTAGATCTTTTTCTGAGGAGTAGCTGTTGATGTGATGAGAAGGTGGGAAAAAACCCAAAGAATGAGGTCAGTGGGCAGCTTAGGGGCAAAGTGGAGGAGACCAACAGGTCTGTTCACTGCTCGGGAGGGAGAGCATCCCAAATTTAAATTTCAATTAAACTGGCTGGGCAAAAATCTGTGGCCATTTTCGGGCAGTGCACTGGCCCCTCCCGGGCTACCAAACCACTTTTTTCTTGGACCATTGGTCACACGGACACATACACCTTCAAGAGGGTTTCTCTCTCTCTCTTCCTAAGTCAGCCGCAGCAAAACCTTCCAAGTCGAATATCGGTGGGTGTAATTAGGGGGTTATCTCTGGAGATCTCTTCATTCCTTTCCCCCAAACCTCCTTTGGCTCCATTCCCACCTTCTCATCCCGTCCAGCCCAGAAAACCTTTCAGGGGTCTGGGCCGCATGCCACAAATCTGCATCACGAAAAGCAGGAACCTCAAGAGCTCAGGAAAAGTGTAGGCCTGCGCTTCGGGGTCGCCGGTCAGCCCGGCGGCCCAGGGCTCAGGAGCCCCCCCCCACG